GCCCTGCAGCCTCTGCACCCCCCCGCCTGCCCTGCCCCTCGCACCCCCCTGCCCCTGCCTGCCCTGCTCCTCCTCGCCCTGCAGCCTCTGCACCCCCCCGCCTGCCCTGCCCCTCGCACCCCCCTGCCCCTGCCTGCCCTGCTCCTCCTCGCCCTGCAGCCTCTGCACCCCCCCGCCTGCCCTGCTCCCCCGCTCCCCTGGCAGCCTCTGCCTGGCGGGGGCTTCGGATGCTCAGCGGCGACCAGGGCAGCGCGGGTCCCTGCAGCCCCGGCACACGCCGCACTCCCTGCCCCGCTCTGCAGCCTCCTTCCTGCCGTGCGGGGTGACGGGGCCGCAGGAAGGGTCCCCCAGTGGCCGGGGAGTCCCTGCCCGCAAGGGAAGCCTGAGCTGCTGGCTGGGCCCGGCTTCCCCATGGTCCTGCGGGCTTGGCTGGGGTGTGCAGTCCGCCCGGCCTCCAGGGGCAGCAGCGGCCCCTTCACCGCCTTCTGCGGCTGCGCCCCTTCCCCCGCCCGAGCTCGCTACAATGTAGCCGGGTGGCTGGGCTGCACTGCGGACCCGACAGGTTGTGCTGGGGCCGGGCGGACCCTGGCTTATGCTGCCTCCCTATTTCCCCGGACATGTCCGGCTTTTTGGCAATTCCCCCCGGACGGGGATTTGAGCACCAAAAAACCGGACATGTCCGGGGAAATCCGGACGTATGGTAACCCTAGCTAAGCATGCTTAGCATGTTATGAAGTCTGTGACAGCAAGTAGGAGAACACACATAATTGGGTTTTTAGGCTTTTCTATGGTTAAAGGCTTGGTTTTTTTAGTGGGAGGACTTGTGGGAGTAGTCATACCAAAGGCTGAATCTTAGCTAAAAGCTGGTAGGCCCAAGAAGATAAACCGAGATCACCAATTCTGAACTTTCATTACGAGACACAAACAAGTAACCACGAAAAATACAGTACACCACAGAATTCTGCAAGAAAGGAGTATTGGGGGAGGCCTTTAGCAATCTGGTAACAAGGCAGTAACTAGGTAGTTAGACCACAATAACATATAGGAGTTATTAAGAAATGTGTGATGTAGTTTATCAATATTCACAATTAAAGGCATAGCTATGGAAAGCCAGAATGCCACATGTGAATAATGGACAGGTATTAATCTTGTTATGGTCATGGAAATTGATCAGCTGTGGTTGTGTATCTGATAATGTACATAAAGGAGTATGGTATTTTCTGTATTATTAGAGCTAGTGGCTTGAGTCTATAGCAGGGGTCAGCAACTTTTCAGAAGTGGTGTGCCAAGTCTTCATTTATTCACTCTGATTTAAGGTTTCGCGTGCCAGTAATACATTTTAACGTTTTTAGAAGATCTCTTTCTATAAGTCTATAATATATAACTAAACTATTGTTGTATGTAAAGTAAATAAGGTTTTTTAAATGTTTAAGAAGCTTCATTTAAAATTAAATTAAAATGCAGAGCCCCCCGGACCGGTGGCCAGGACCCGGGCAGTGTGAGTGCCACTGAAAACTAGCTCGCGTGCCGCCTTTGGCACACGTGCCATACGTTGCCTACCCCTGGTCTATAGAATAGTTATCAAAAAGTGAAAGGCCACCAAGGCTATGTCTACACTGCAGTTAGACACCCGTGACTGGCTCATGCCAGCTGACTTGGGTTCACGGGGCTCAGGCTAAGGGGCTGTTCAATTGCCGTGTAGACTTCCGGGCTCGGGCTGGAGCTTTGGCTGCTGGACCCTGTGAGGTGGGAGGGTCCCAGAGTTTAGGCTGCAGCCCAAACACTGCGAACCAGAGTCAGCTGGTGTGGGCCAATGGCAGGTTTCTAATTGCAATGTAGATATACCCTAAGTGTTCTAACTCCCATAAATCAGGAACAGG